GTGTCATAAATGTTATGTGATCAGTGTAAACTCAGACATGTGTAAGTCTCACATGTGGACAGAAACACACATGGGAAATAATCTACCATTAAACTGGGCCATTCTTCTTGCCACGCAAGGCATGCAACAGTCCTCTCCAGGACAGGCTCCAAAGCTACAGAGAAACCCTGTCTCGAAGAAACACACACACACACACACACACACACACACACACACAGCCCCCCCACACACACCTTCCTTCACTGTTGGCAAGAACACAGCTGGAGCTCTTCCAGGTGCACTCCGCAGAAGCGTAAATTTAATATGCCAGGCTTCTTTGCATTGCTGAAGGAATTAAATACAAGGGATAATGCATTCACTGCCCCACCTCTTCCTGCTCCTGCTTCATTTGTCAGCACCTCAAGCCAGGATGGGAAGTGTGGCAGGCCATGCTAACACACACTTTGGCTGAAACATATCCAGTATGGTTGGCTTCTGAAGTACCCTAGTATAAGACAAACATCGCATCCATAAAACGCTCTGTTTCCCCATGTCAAGCTGCCGCTGATTGCAAAGTAAAAAAAAAAAAAAAAAAGTCACAGTTAACACCAAGGCGCCAGCATTTACCAACCTCAGAGGAAAGGGCATTTCTGGGCTCACAATATCTGCTTTCCTCAAACCACTCAGAGTAGGCCACTGGGTGCTGTTAAACGTAGGACACAAGGAAAGAGAGAGCTGGCAGCTGCTTTCCAGGTGCCTTAAGGACGGGTCTCCTGGGAGGTCCGCTCGGCTGCGGAAGCACAGTGTCAGGCTAGGTGGCAAACACCAAGCTTCACAGGAGGGCTCCTGACTGCCTCGTCATGTGAAAATCAATATCACGCTGGTTAAAGCAGACACCAGAACCCTCCACACATATGGTATGGGAGTTTGGATGTAGGCTCTAACCAAACTGGAAGATTTAAAATTTCTTAGTAAGCGGTCAGAAGCTAAATATTGAAGAGTCTATAAATGTCACACACACACACGTCACTAACAGTGTCCTATAACGCATGGAGAATTAACCAAGGAGACAGAGTCACAGGCAGGTCTCTTCTGACCCTCATTACGGAAGGCTCTGCAAAACTCTCCAATCGGCCCATCCATCCCAAGTTATAGAGGGCACCCACAGGTCTCCACCTCTCCACTCCTCCGGGAAAGTGCCCATTTGGGGAAGTTTGGGGGCATTCTATTAGTCAACTTTTTGTCCTGATAACAACCTACCCAAGACAATCAAGTTACAAAGAAAAGAGGTTGACGTGGGGCTGCAGTTTTGGAAGCTTAAGAGCGTGTTTATTTGGCCCCATTGACTTGAGCCTGAGGTGTGCTAGCACATTACAGAGAATGCGTGAGGAGAAGCAAAGGCAGAGGACAGAGCCTAACAGCCTAAGCATCTCCTACAAGGCCCTCCCTCCTGCAGGTTACCCTACCCACCAATAATGCCACTCTGGGGGAACCACACCTTTACAAATTCATATTCTCTCTCTCTCTCTCTCTCTCTCTCTCTCTCTCTCTCTCTCTCTCTCTCTCTCGTAGCCCAGCCAAGCTGTGGTTTGAAGGACAATGAGACCCATAATAGGCTCAAATGCTTGAATACTTGGTTCCCCCCACCCCACCCCCACCCCCACTGGTAAACTGTCAGGGATGGATTAGGAGGTGTGGCCTAGTTGAGAAAAACCTGCCGCTAGGGGTGGGCTCTTGCCACCCCAGTGCTCTGCTCCCTGCTAGCTGTTTTGTGAGAGGTGTGAGCTTTCAGCCCCACCATCATGGACTCTAACCCTCTGGAACTGTAATCCTAATGGAATGCTTTTTTTTTTTTTAATAAACCACCATGGTTATGGTGTTTTGTTATAGCAATAGAAATCTTAATTGATAAACCAAAGATGACCTTGAACCCCTGATCCCCCTGCCCCCCTGCATCCTTTTCCTGAGGTTGAAAAGCAAGATACTGGCAAGCAGAGAAGCAAAGAGAAGCAGAACTAAACCAGCGAGGAACTGACTGCCCAATGCCAGGGAAATGCTTCCTGTAGCTTCAACTTCTTTCCCGTGAGTTACTCCAGAGTCTTCTCAGTCAGACAGTAAAATGCGTTAATCTAGTTTGAACTGGATTTCTGCTTTGTGGCAACGAAAGTCTTAAGCACACCAACGAATAGGAAATTTGAAGTAAAGTTACAACAGTCATTCAAGGGGTGAGGAGTCCTCTCTTCTTTGTCTTATACCGTACCACATATAATATTTAGACTGTGTTAAATATATGTACATTTAGAAAAGCTAAATATAAGGGGACAAGAAAGGACTTCATGCCATGAATGGAAGTGACGAAAGAGGATGTAAAGTGAATTGTTTCTCTAGTTCTAATTCTTCGTGGGCTTTTTGCCTGCCGGTGGATAAGTGCATAAAACCATTCAATGCTGAAAGTGTGAAACTCCCTTTGAAGCTCCACAGTCCCCATTCTGAATGCAATTTCTAACAGTATAGATGCTCTCTTAGTCGTGTGACTTAGAGTCTGGTTAGTCTGGGGGCGGGATGTTTTTATTTATCTGAAAGTTCTTTGAGACAATAAAACAAATTTTTTAAATGGTGGGGGGGGGGATGACAGGGAGTCAGCTGATACCAGTCACCTGGAGTCACTGAGCAAACACAGCTGCCAGCTCTCAGCTCCCAGGCTCCTCCACATGACAGGACTCAGCTCCAGGTGTGTGTCTACTTGATTTCCCCTCTTCCATTCTTCTCGGGTTTCCTCACGAGACCCTGCATACCTCTGCTAGATCACCCGGCACTGTGCACTTGGTTCCTTGTCCATGTTTCCCAAACATGCCACAGAGTGTGAATTCCAGGTCCAAGGAACAGCTCAGGGGCAGGACACTCTCACAGCAGTGAGAGGTTGTGGTTTCAGGTTTGATCCTTAGCTCTGGGACACGTGTAGGCAAACTCTACTGCTGAGTAAATTGAGCAAGCGTGGTCAAAGTCTAGGTTGTTGATATTGTCCTATAAATTCACTTATCCCGAACTGCACAAACAATGGGAGGCTCCTGAAATTTGTCCCAGTGGCTTCATCTGTCTTTTTTTAAACTGCTTTTTTGATACAATATGCAATTGTTTATTTATCTACCTATTTATTTATTTATTTATTTTTGATTTTTCAAGACAGTGTTTCTCTGTAGCTTTGGAGCCTGTCCTGGAACTAGCTCTTATAGACCAGACTGGCCTCAAATTCACAGAGAGCCTCCTGCCTCTGTCTCTCGAGTGATGGCATGTACCACCACCATCCAGCACCATTTTCCATTTTTAAAAATAAAAAAGGTGTTTATTTTACAAGTGCTCATCTACAAGTAGAATGTGTACCTTGGGCATGTGATGCTCAAGGAGGCCAGAAGAGGGTGCCACATTCCCTGGAACTGGAGTTACAGATGGTTATGGGGCACCTTATACATGTCTAGAACTGAACCCTGGTCCTCTGCAAGAGCAGCCAGTGCCCTTAACCACTGAGCCACCTCTCCAACTCCACATTGCTTTGCTTATCCCATTTCTGCTCATCATGCAGAGATTAAAGGAGAGATGGGAAGCCCTTTACTGCAGCACTTGCTACCTGGGATGCTATTGATTTTTATCTGATCACTGGACTATGCTGTGCCCTTGAGTGCAAAGACTACATCTTACTGAATTTCTCCAAGCAGGCTTTAATACAGTCCTTGGCACAACAGGCACCTGATGTGTCCTTATACAAATGACTAAACTCCACAGGGGGACCTCACTTCTCAAAGTGTGATGTCAGCAGCAGCAGCAGCATTGAGAACTGATGCTGGGACCCCTCCCGGGAACTGATGCTTTCTAAGTTAAATTTCGAAAGTGTTGCTGCAGAGAATATAGGACCCAGAAAAAGTCTGGGAGCCTTCTGTGGGACACGACGAGATACAACACAAACTAAACAACCCCACTGCGGCCCAAGGCAGAATCAATCTGTGCAGGGAGAGTTCCGAAGCAGACTAGATGGAACAGTGCCACACCTTGGCCTTGGTGAGGCCGAGGGAAGGGGACGGGTACCTGAAGCGCAGGTGAGAGATGAGGACTTGAAGTGGAGGGTCTTGGCGGCAGGAGAGCTGGAACCACCCTGCAGAGCCAGCAGCTGATGGATGTGAATAAAAGAATTTAGGGGATGAAAGGGCTAAAGCTGGGAGCAGGAATTTCCGTGAGAATCAGGGGAGGCAGAGGAACCAGGTGATGCCCTATACGAAGGGTCCTCAGGATCCTTTGCACTGCACATTTAGGTCACACGGAAATGTGACATCTCCCACCTTTAAGCTGGAGATCATGTTTAAATTTAAGATTTGATCCCGTTCCGGGATGAGAGTCGCAGGTCCACCCTTGTAAGGCAGACAACCTTCAGGATCTTAGTCCTAGACTCCACGGATGTGGTAATGGAAATAATAAATTAACAGTGTCACTTTGGTACTTAAATGAATATTGGGTTTGGGCCAGTGCCTGCAGGAAGCTTTTGCAAGAACGCCCTAAATGATTTCCACTGGCAAACAGTTCCAGGCGTGCTTAATAAGTAAACTGGGCGATGATAACGGCGATCCAAGGAGCAGTAGCTTCCATCCGGTTAAGTGACCATCCCCAGGGAACAATAACACCGAGTTTACAGAGTAGCCAGCTGCAGCTTGCTACTGGAAGGCTCCTCGGCCACAAGCTGCTCATCGCGCATCCCTCCATCACATCCCGAAAACCCTATCGCCCTTTGCAATTCTTCTGGTCCTAAATCCGGTAGTTTAGGGAAAACCATGATGAGGCCGAGCCCTGGTGGCTAGGACTCCTCAGGAAAGTCACAGGAACCAAGCAGGACTCCAGGCTTTCCTCCAGGAGCGGGTGCAGAGCGGGTCTCCGCATAACTGCGCGGGCGTCCACGGTAGCGGGCTCCAGCCCGGCGCGCGGCAGCGACCTGTGGGGGCGCGCGCGGCCTCCTGGGGTTCCCGCGGATACGCGCCGGGCGGGGAGCGCGCAGGGCGGAGAGCCGGGCGCGAGCGCCGCCGCTCACCTGCCGCGGGCGCCACCGCGGACGTGCCACGCGGGTGGCCCGCGCTCTTCGGCAGCACCGGTGGAACCCCCCTCGGCCTGGGCGTGCCAAGGTGACCCCCGATGAACCCCTGCCCCGCAGGCTGCGCATCCCCGCCGCTAGGGAAGCGGCCAAATGCATGCACATCCTTCTCTCTGTCTGTCTGTCCGGGCACCTTGGTGGTACACACCTACCTTTTGTGGCCCTTGCTCTCTGAGCCGTGCACACGGGGAGAGGCTGGGACACCCCCCACCTCTTTGTTTGGGTCCGGAGGTGTGTTTGGGGGTGTGCACGCTCGTGGGGGATGTTTGGGAAGGGTGGGAGTTCGAGGCCCTTAAAATATTCTACCTTCCTGCAGACTTGTAGCTGCTGGGCGGTGCTCTCAGCTGCCCAGATGTCAAACAGTTGTTGCTTTTTGGCATACGAGATGCAATTAGACAATATCGGTTCTCAGCGTTTTGGCGAGGGCGCTTGTGCTGCCTCGGGAGTCCTGTCCCCTGTTTTCCTAGATGACAAACGGCGGTTCGGTTGTGGGGTTTAATCCATGCAGACTTCAGCTTTTGTTTCTAATTCCTGAAGCTCGTGGCAGTTTTGACACTGGTTATCTGAGTCCAGGACTGTCTGTCTGTTTCTGTGTGTTTTGCATGATCTTGGATTGGCATCCTACCGTACCCAAACATTAAAAAGCCTGTCTTTCCGTTGAAGAGGAAGGGGTTAAAATGAACGAAGACCCGAAGGTCAATTTAAGCGGGCTTCCTCGGGATTGTATAGATGCCAGTGCTCCGGAGAACATCTCAGCCGCTGTCCCCTCCCAGGGCCCTGTGGCGGAGTCAGAACCTGAGCTCGTTGTCAACCCTTGGGATATTGTCTTGTGCAGCTCAGGAACCCTCATCTGCTGTGAGAATGCCATTGTGGTCCTTATCATCTTCCACAGCCCCAGCCTGCGAGCCCCCATGTTCTTGCTGATAGGCAGCCTGGCTCTGGCAGACTTGCTGGCTGGCCTGGGACTCATCATCAATTTTATTTTTGCATACCTGCTTCAGTCAGAAGCCACCAAGCTGGTCACAATTGGACTCATTGTCGCCTCTTTCTCTGCCTCTGTCTGCAGTTTGCTGGCTATCACTGTGGACCGCTACCTCTCGCTGTATTATGCCCTGACGTACCACTCTGAGAGGACCGTCACATTTACCTATGTCATGCTGGTTATGCTCTGGGGGACCTCCATCTGCCTGGGGCTGCTGCCTGTCATGGGCTGGAACTGCCTGAGGGACGAGTCCACCTGCAGCGTGGTCAGACCTCTCACTAAGAACAACGCTGCGATCCTCTCCATCTCTTTCCTCTTCATGTTTGCACTGATGCTTCAGCTCTACATCCAGATCTGTAAGATTGTGATGAGGCATGCCCACCAGATAGCCCTGCAGCACCACTTCCTGGCCACGTCGCACTACGTGACTACTCGGAAAGGGGTTTCAACCCTGGCTCTCATCCTGGGGACCTTCGCGGCCTGTTGGATGCCTTTCACCCTCTACTCCTTGATCGCGGATTACACCTACCCCTCCATCTATACCTATGCCACTCTCCTGCCCGCCACCTACAATTCCATCATCAACCCTGTTATATATGCTTTCAGAAACCAAGAGATCCAGAAAGCCCTCTGCCTCATTTGCTGCGGGTGCATCCCTTCCACGCTGTCCCAGAGAGCACGGTCTCCCAGCGACGTGTAGGAACCTTCCAGCCGCAAGACACTGCTCTACCAAGCACCCCCACTGTCCAGGATGGCCACTGCGTTCCTCTGCTTCAATTCTTTGCACTGGATTCTCACAAGCAGAAGTGATGACATCAGTCAGATAGGCGAAGACAGTGGAAATCATGTCACCAGTGTTAAAAAAAAAAATGACGTCTCTGCTCAGCATTATGTTGCTTGGTTCGGAAGTTACATTTATTATTATTTTTTAAATATTTTATTTAACAAGTTTTGTTTGTTTGGAGGGTGCTAGTGGGGCCCCATGTGGCCATGAAATTATGCACAAGTCCCAGGATTTTTAACCTAGACTTGAAAATAAATCAGAGTTTTTAAGGAACCTGGAGAAGGGATTACTTTTTTTTGGACTTTTTTTAAAATCAAGGTAGATCTTCCATTCTGTATGTATCTAACAGGATATGAACTTTTTCAAATGACCAAAATAGTTTACATAATTACGTTTGGAAAGACTTGTTTTCAGGAACATGAACTCAGTAGTAAGTTATAAATAACAAAACCCCAAACAGCCGCTGCTCGTGAGAATTTCCTTGCAGTTTCTCTGTGTTACAGTTTGGTATGCATGGTTACTTGTGGTAGTTAGACCACTAATTGCAACGTTGCCACGTGAAACCCAGAATTAAAAGAGTCATTTTTCAATACAGTTTTAATAGATTCTTTTCAAAATGAGTCTCAAGAAAACATTTTGAATTACATGTGAGGTAGCTCTGACTAGATATGCCATTGTAATTTTTAAAACTTCAGTCTGGTGGTTTTCAGAAAACATTAATAGTATCTATTGAAAGCAGATTGTATTTATTTTTAATATATTCTGAAAAAAAATAAACGAGTCTGATGCTGTTAAGAAATATACAAACATCACCTTTCATCTTTGTCTATGAATATATTGTTTTTCCTGCTTAAAATGGGTAGAATTAAGTATTATAAGCCAAATTTTTCTTGTTCATATTGTTGGTAGGGCAAAGTGCATCTGAAGCAAGTGGTTTCCTGTCTTAATGACCAGGTCTGTGAAATGCCCAGCTAACATGACTGGTGTGTGCCATCTGTGATCTGTGCCCTGCGGGCTCACGAGAACAATGACCATGTGTTTGCTGGTGGAAAGTTTAACTTATTTTCACCAAAAGATTCTGTGAATGCAACAAGGGCTCTGTTACCTGTTTTCAGAGAGCAAAGGTATAGCTGGAAAATTATAACAAGAAGGGACTTGAAACGCTCAACAAGGTCTGAATGTCATTTTCCGTGAGAGCAGGCAGATGCAGACACAGATACCATCCCTCTGTTTGTAATGGGCTCATTGCTATGTCTCTACAGAAGTGTAAGAATTCCTGCATGGTGCGTCAAGACCAGTATCCTTAGGGGGATTATTTGTAATAGGTCATCCTCAAAGATTTGTCCCAGTCAGTATGCCCATGGTGGTTTTAGGACCAATCTACAAAGCCTGCATGCCAAAGCCAATCCTCCAAAGCTGCTTCTCAAGCTTCACAAGTGAGGATAAATCCTCTACCTGAATCTGCAACTCCTCTTTGAGGCTCTTTGCAGAAGCACGTGAGGGGGTGAAAGAGTCAAGACGTGGGGAGGAATTTTCAGCACTGTGTATTCACGCCCAATCCAGATGACAGCTTTAAAACATCTCTTTGGAATATCGGATAGGCTTGGTAGAATGAACAGGTGGAGTCTGTTTATTTATTTACCTAAATATTTTATTTATTTTACTTACATGTAGATGCATGTGTATGCATCCGTGTGCGCGCAAGTGGGTGCAGGTGCCCAGAGAGGCCAGGAATATCCAGCTGGCCTGGAGCTGGAGTTACAGATGGTTGTGAGCCACATGTAGATGGTGGGAAAGAACCTGGGTCTTCTGCAAGAGCAGCCGGTGCTCTTAACCACTGAGCCATGTCTCCAATAAGTTAGTTTAGACATGGGCATGGGAACCTTCACAATGAGTTCTTAAAGCGACAGACGATGTTTCATGGAAATGGAAGCTCTCATTTGCGTGTCTCTGGTAGGAATTACAGGACAGCAGTACGTTCGCCTGGACCACGTGTGTTCTCAGCCCCACATGTGGTGTCTTAGCAGCTTTTTTAAAGACATGGTGGCTGCGAAAACACGCTGGTGGTGAGAAAACTGCAGCTGCAGAGAGAGGCGAAGAAACAGAGCAAGGCTACAGAGCTGGAGTGGGGGGCTCGAACTGACAGCAGGCTTTCCTCAGCATAGATCGGGTCCCTTCCCTGCATAATGTTGTCTTTGATCCCTCGCTCCATAGAAAGCTGCTCTTTAACAAGTCCCTGTCACAAAACCTGGGTTCTAGAATTAAGAGAAAGCTTCCAATTTAAGATTACATGGGGACCAATAGCCACTGTGGGTAAATGCTTTTGTACATAGTGAGTTGTGTGAAACGGTCTTATAAATATTTATGAAGTAGTTGTTTAAAGGTTTTTTCATTAATTTGTGTATGAGTGTATGTGTACATGTGTATGGGAATGTGTATATGTATGTGTGTGTATATGTGTGTGTACATGCATATGCATTTGTGTGTATTATGCGTGTATGTATGTGCTTGTGTATGTATGTGTGTGTATATGTGTGTATGTGTGTATGTGTGTGTGTGTGTGTATGTGTGTGTGTGTGTACCATGGTACAGGTATGGAAGTCAGAGGACAATCTGAAAGTTATTTCTCAGATCTTTCTTTCTACATGTGGGTTCTGGTATTGAACTTGAGACATTAGGCTTGGTGGCAGGTGCCTTTTACCTCCTGAGCCATCTTACTAGCCCAGTGGTTGCTATTGACCCATGTTTTTGAAGAAGAAAAAAAACACACACCTAATTTTACCTGAGAGGTTTTTCTTCACTCTCATTTCCTACAAGATTTCTCTATATTTTGATAGGAATGCCACTAAGAAATGGGCACCTTTCTCAATATATGTATTTGTGTACAAGGCTATGAGTATATATTAGTCATATTTTGGACCACTTTAGAACAGCAGAGAACAATTGCAATTCCTACTTACTAAGTAATTTATAGTCTTGTCAGTAGACATAGTTGTATCTGTGAGACAATTTAATTATTTTACCAGACTCCTTCATTAGTCCTGAGTATTTACCCAGATGGTGGCTGAGTTCTGTCTCATTTTATTTTTTGCCTTTCTTTATTTCAGTCAAGTCCACTTGGTTTTCCCTCTTTTTCTTTTCCCTTGTTGAGGTTGAAACTCAGCTCTTTGCTCCCGCTAGGCAAGTTCGCTGTCACTTAGCTACATACCCAGCTCCTATCAAGTTTGTTAGTGGTAGGAGCGGTGGGTCCTTCTCCCTTCCTGGTAGCTGAGATGGGGGCCATGGTCTTCCTCACTTAGATGCCTAAATCAAAGAACCAAATTGTGGACCAGAAACAGTCATAGACCTCCCCAGGCTTTGGAGCAGGATGGGAACACGATAGAGACAGGGGTCAGAGATATTTCATACCCTAAAAAGCAGAACAGAGATTCCTTAAAGTTAAAAAAAAATATACTCATCAGTTACTAAAATACTGGTTACCTTTGCTTCACAGTCTCAGGAAGCATCCTGCGGAGGGGAGTAGACACCTTCCCACGCTGGAAGAGCACACTGCATCAGTGACCACTCTGGTGTGATTTTGAGCCATGTTCACACTCATTCCTACAGTGCTGATTCTCACAAGGTGGATACTGGAACATGCTGCTTTCTTGTCCCATCTGAAAGCAGTAGTGCTTATTGGGGTGGTTTTGGTGTTCACTTAGGACCTTTAGATCTCTCTTGAACTTTTAGGAATCATTTAACTTGTGGCTGGAGAGATGGCTCAGTGGTTAAGAGTACTGGCTGCTCTTCCAGAGGACCCGTGTTCGATTTCCAGCACCCACATTATAGCTCAATACCGACTGTAACTCCAGTTCCAGGGAATAGGATGCCCTCACACAGATATACATGCAGGCAAAACAGCAACGCATATATAATAAAATAAAATAATAAAAATCATTCAACTAAGGATTTTTGTAATAGTTTTATGCATTGTAATTAAATTAGGAGATGTATCTGTTTCCTTGAAAATAATGAAGGAAAAGATTATAGTCACTTGCATAAAGGTGACTAGAATGTTCTATATTTAAGAGCATATGAATCCCCCAATAATCTTGTTAAAAGTCCAGATTCAGGCTCCTGGGTCCTGGGCATAGCTGAGTGTCTCACTAACTCCTGAGGGATTCTGATATTGAGTGTCTGTAAGTGACACTTTGAAGTCTCACAAAGAAAATGTCAAATTTCCAACATATGCAAAATATTAATATAATACATAAATATCAACCCAATAAATACACGTCTTTAAAGTGTTTATACTCCTGAGTGCTAGTGACTAAACAGAGCATGTCCAAAGGCCATGAACCTTAACCCTTTCCTAGAATTTCCCAATATGTAGCTATAAAGACCTAGGACTGTATGGGTTCCACGTCATGGTCTCGCTGTTCTAGATCTAACTGTCATGATCTGAAGGCAGTAATTTCCAGAAACTCTATGTAGTGTCCCATCTGCCGATGCCCCTCCCAGCAGCAAAGGTTTTCAAGGACAGAGGCTCCTCGTGGCTTGAGTGGTTTGTGTGTGTGCATGGGCTCACCTTGGGGTAATTAAAATGAAAACCTTTGTTCTTCAGGCTCAGCACTGCAGCTGAATTCACCACAAAGCAATCGTTCTCCATAGGGACATCAAAGGCCTGTGAAGCGATCTCACTTCCATTTGACATTTATCTGTAACCTTTTTCTTTTGTAGCATTAAACATTCTGTTAACCTTAACCCCAAACATCCATCTCCTGTGCTTTCGTTCTGTCCAAAGAGACGAGAATTTTGCGTTTTGTTTTCTCAGACAGAAGTAGGTTGAAGTAAATAGTTGTGGTGAATACCAGCACACAACTTAAATATTTCCTTTGTAGAAAATAGTTTTAAAAGTGATTTAGGTTTGTTTTTGTTTTTGAGACAGCATCTTTTTATGTAACCTAGGTTAGAATCTGATTTTTTTCCCTTTAGATTCCAAGTCTAGTATGAAAGGGTAGGCCTGGGACACTGAGGCAAGAGGGTCTGGAGTCTAAAGCTAGCCTGAGAATCTAAGAATTTTCCTCTTCCTCTTCTTTCTCCTCCTCCTCTCCTCTTTCTCCTCCTCCTCCTCTTCCTCCTCCTCATTCTCCTCCTCTTCTCTCTCTATAGGAGTCTAAAGTTGGGCAGCAGTGAAAGACTTTTCACTTGAAAGTAAGTTTAGAGGCGAAATGAAAATACTTACTTGGACACAGATTATGTTGGTGTTTGGTTATTTGGATAGATCATTTAGTAGAACATTTTAAACACTAAACCAAAGAATAATAAGACTACAGAATTTTCAGTAAGGTTCGGAGTTGCATTTCTCAACCAAGCAACTTATTTTGAGTCCAGAAGAGTCTTGCTTGGGTGACTGAAAATGTGAGCTTTTCCACTGGGAGGGGCTGTGGCCATTCTTCTACAGATGTCATGAAGTCATTGTGGTAAACCCTGAGAGAGAGTTGCTTCTGATCCGACTGTATCTTCCTTCTAGGGCCATTTGAACCACAATAAATTGATTCTTGTTTTCTACATCATCTAGTACTTGGAAGGAAACCAATAAAGATGTCTTTTCTAGGCCAAACATGAATCATCTAGGTCCAGGTAATTTTGTAAACAGAAGCTGTGAACGCTCCGGTAATAATGAGCAGCAATATGTTAGTATCCTTACGCCCAGGTTTTCCCCATTGCCTTAGAATTCTGTTTTGTCTGGACCTAGCATCCGGAGGTACGGAGACACTTTCCTAATCCCAGGAGTTATGATCACAGTTTTGTGTTGAA